TCTAGCATTAATTAATTAATAAAACACCTTTTACTTCATACACACATTTAATAATTCACCAAATTAACACAACGCCGAACTGTTCAACACTCAAGTTACCGCCAGACACCGACTCGCACACAGATACATACTTCTGTTCCGTAAGGGATCAGACACTCTACATATGACACACCATAGAGCACATACACGTCAGGATAGACACTCTTGGCCGTTATATTCAAATGACAGACATACAATATTATAGTTCGGCCAATCCTGACCTCACAGGCGTCCCCGACTGATGAGATCTAATACAACAGTAATCTAAATCTAATATTACAAACACAAATCATAAAACCATTACAACATAATCATAAACCATTACAACATAAATCATATTTCATTCACTTATTGTCTCTACCAACTTTGTCGCCATCACTTATTGTCCTTATACGCCTATTATTTTTATACACTTATTTAATTTTAGTTCTAGCTTATTTCTACGAATCATCTCTAACACCCTACGCAACACTTCAATATTCTCCTCAATTGTTTCTGTGGCCATTAGTAAATCGTTCATGTACACTATAACTTCACAGTTCATCACAAAACAACGAAAAATGTCACTTACATATCTCATAGATACATTCGGGCTATTACAATACCCAAATGGCATACGGTTGTATTCATATTCTCCCTGTGCACACCCCAAGCTAGTGTATTTTCTACTAGTCTCAGCCACCACCACATGAAAGAAAGCGTTCTCCAGATCTAGCTTCGTAAAATACCTCTTAGACTTCGGTGAGTCCAAGCAATCATCTATTCTTGGACTGGGTAAGGATCGCGCACCACCCGTTTTTCAGTCTCCAAATATTCCTCTCTGACCAGATCTCCTACTGTCGCGACCACCCCATAGCCATGCATTTCAAATGCAGTCTCTGGCTCTTCCTGCGTTTTTCAGTCTCCCAATCTTCTGCTGTCGCTATCGCTCCATAGCCATGCATTTCGAATGCAGTCTCTGTTTCTTCCGGCTTTTCACTCTCCAATATTCCTTTTCTACCAGATCTCCTGCTGTCGCTATCACTCCATAGTCATGCATTTCGAATGCAGTCTCTGGTTCCTCCGGTTTTTCACTCTCCAGGTCTTCTACTGTCGCTACCACTTTCGTAGTCATTTTCATCTGATATATTTATATTTGCTCCGTCTGTGGTAATCTCACCATCAATCGCCAATATTTCGTTAACTCGAAATGTAGTGCTGTCAGGCGCCACCTGCGCCGTACTCCGGACATTTTTGCAGAATCTCTGCTGATGCTCCTTTGAGCCACAGTCGTAGCACGCCACTCCATCGTTCTTCGGTTTGATGCACCTGGACGCCATATGTCCCACTCCGCCACAATTAAAACACCTCACCGTAGGATATGTGCCTTGTGTTTCCACTCTAGGAAACACTGTTGGCTGTACCCTCGTAGGCGGCATCATATTGCATCCGCGTTCCTCCGCTGTCAACTCATTCATTACACCTAGCAGAGTTGCTAAATCCTTAAATTGGCTCATCTTGGCTTGAGCCTGGAGTGGCGGGTTGTCGAAGCCGTCTATCATATAAGCCAGTAGATCGGACTCCATAAAACCCAACCTATTCCCTAGCGCCATCTTCTCCTGAAAGTATGCGCTAAACGGTTCCTGTTTTCGCCACCTCCGAGACTCAAAGCGCTTCATTCTAGTCATCCTGTCTTCTCCATTTTTGAAAAACGCTGTTAGCACCCTCTTCAGCTCGTCGTATGAATATGTCGCATACTCTGCCTTGCTGTCATATAATCGCCTCGCCCGCCCCGACAGCTTCGATGTTATCAGCACCGCCATCTTTTTCTTAGGCACCTCGTATGCATCCCGGACGGTCTCAACCCGTTCAAACCACGCCTCGATGCATTGCTCAGACGACCCGTCGAATATCGGTATCGTCGCCAACCACTCGCTGCTCGAGATGCTATCGTTTTTATTACTGGTTGTCGCCCTAATAAGATTAATCAAGTCCGTCAACGATAGCACTCTTAAGGCTTCGGGCACCAAGCTCTCAGCATCACCACCAGTAGCCATCTCACCAAATCTTATTTTATTTCCGCAATCTCCAGTTTTTAATTACACACATCGCAGCTCCGCGACTCGCCAACATCAATATTACGCCCTGCTTTTGATATTTTCTCTCCACTCTGTTCTTATTTTGGTTACCCACGTGCTAACCTCACTTTAGCACAACACACAAACACACAAAACTTACAAAACTTACAAAATAACACCCGCACTTGTACGATAGCGAAGCACACCTTGCTTTCTATCGCACCCCGTAATTATAACCCGCCTGATTAATAACACGGGCACTCAAAAAAAAGATTATTGAAATCGCCTATTTCAATAATCCACACCAATAATGTTCTCTAATAAAATTCTCCACGTTTTGATCCTATCCCACTTCTGAGCTTTAAGCTAGCTTTATTCTAGCATTAATTAATTAATAAAACACCTTTTACTTCATACAACACATTTAATAATTCACCAAATTAACACAACGCCGAACTGTTCAACACTCAAGTTACCGCCAGACACCGACTCGCACACAGATACATACTTCTGTTCCGTAAGGGATCAGACACTCTACATATGACACACCATAGAGCACATACACGTCAGGATAGACACTCTTGGCCGTTATATTCAAATGACAGACATACAATATTATATATTATCCAAATATTTCTTATTTGTGTAATGATTATGGTTTATATCCAACATTGCGGATGTTTTTCACTCCAGTCAATTTATAATTTTCTTGGTATCGTTGCTAACTTCATATCTCTTGAGAAACCCTTTTCAATTAAATCTAAAACAGTAAAAACTTAAATCTAAATCAAATAACTAAATTTAAATAGTTAAAAAAGTAACGTCTGCATCCATTATCTTTAATAAAAATAAAAAAGTAATCTTAATTAATTTGTGCATTCTGAGAAACAATGTGATAATTCATAAATTTAAGAATTATAAGAAACTGTGTCAGTGTAATCTAAATGTGACATTCAAAAAATATAAATTAAAATCAAAGGTATCTATTCCACATTTTATTTCATGTTAAATTATTATTTCAATATGTATTGTTTTTATTCAAAATGCTTAATTTATGGTTTGTTCTCATTTTTGTTTATCAAATATTGTTTATTGAATTTATAGCATGAGCGTAGGTCAGCGGTTTCCAACCTGTGGGGCGCCAGGCTCTAAGGGGGGCGCGTACAACTGTTTCCAGAATACTATTATCGAAAATAACCCAACATTTATGGAACGTTATTAAAAAATAAACAAAAAATATTTAGTTTTTATGAATATTTTTACATAATATTGCATATTAATTTGTAGTCTGATAATATCAGTTGAGTACAATAAGGGGGAGCGCAGCAATTTTTTTTTATATTTGCAGGGGGACGCGATGCAAAAAAGGTTGGAAACCGCTGGCGTAGGTACTCATACTCACCATATACTGAGCTACAATATAGTAGCTAAAAATTTCTGTAAAAGTATAAAAAATATATGGTGTTCTTAAGTACGTTTTTAAGATCATTTTATATTATTAAAAGAATTGTAAAGCATTATGTTAATATCAGATCTGAATAATAATAATTCTAAGAATATATCTCTGAATAATAATAATTCTAAGAATGGCATGAATAAAATTTATGAAATTTTTAGTTCATTACAATTTCTTATTGACTTTATCAAATGAGACTAATTTACTACGACTCTTTAGCAACTTTTTTTTATTTTTCTGTTTCCCGTCTTGAGCTTTGGATTTATGTTCTGTTTCCGTATCCGAGCTTGTTTCTGCCTTTCGTTGTTGACGCCTCAGTTTATGTGTTTGTTTATTAGTGTTATTATTAATGGCCATAACAGCAAGACCCCCTAATTTTAATCCGTTATTTCGACTAACTTTTACATTAGATTCCTCGGGACTAGCAAATGACATGACAGTTTTTGCTGTGTTTTGTGTTGCTATAGGCTTTCTTTTTCTATGTCCTTTGTGCCAGCAATATAAATAAGATGGTAATGGTATTTCTGGTTTATCTTTACTAGTAGCCTTATCAGATCGCTTAAGTCTGAAATTAAATAATCAACACAGTGAGATTAGAATGTATTCAAATAAAACTCTGATGGAAATCTGTTTCCTAACAATGCATTACGATGCACGCGGTTTGTATTACAATGCAATTCAATTTATTACCATCCATTAAAATTCTATCATTGTTATCAATCAACTAATTATATCCACACCCAAATATAAGCATTTACAAGTACTTATTTGAATTAATTACTATGAAGAGTTTGCGGTTGGACATTTCTATAATATAAGGTACGCCGGGGCACAAAGGTCCAATTTGACTTTGAGCAATCATATTGTAAAAACTAAATTGATTATATCACAACAAAAATTCTAAGCTAATTCTTCATTGTAAAAATGTGTTTTTTGCTGTTTTTCAGAAATTTGCCACCTGCTCCTTTTTACCCCATAGACAGATATATTGCTTTTCTAATTTTTATTGTTAACGTATACTTAAAAATTATATTGAGGTCTCGTAAACTAAACAACAGCGCTCGCAACCAAAAGAACTAACAACAAAAGAAATTACTTTTGTTAAAAAATTCCAATATTGAGGAATTAAGGTGATGGCTGGTTATACATCTTGTTTCCTTTTCTTTCAATTATTATTGTTAGAAAAATTAATTTTACTTGTTTTTGAGATTAATGGTGGGCTTTTTACCCGCGGACCTTTAAGCCCCGCTCGACTCTATATAATAGGTGCAGAATATATATACCTTGGTTTTCGTTTTCGATTTTCTAAGCCATTTCCATCGCTCGATTGTTGCACGTAATTGGCTCCTGACTGACTGAATGATTTCTTTAATGATTTTGCGATTTTAGCTTCATTCAATATTTTCATGTGATAATTCAAACTCATACGTTCAAGGGTAAGAAGTTTTTGCGAGCATGATCTGAAATATCCAAATAATAATTTATTGATATATTCTTGAATAATTTACTATTTGAACAAATCTTAGAAAATAAAACAGTTTTGTTAATTTATACAAATCATGATCATATAAAACTCTCTTAATAAAGTAATCAAATGATTAACTTAAAAATTAATAATGATCATACATGTAATGAAATTTACATTTTATATTAAATAACGTATGTGAAAACACATAATAATTTGTTAAATTCTTACTTTAACAAAGCGGTACTATCTCCATTAAAGTGTAACATTTTTGATAGACCCCATGATAAGGGTGCCCTGGGTCCCCATTCTGGTGTGCCCGTCCACACCTGCTGCCGCGCCGTGCTTGTAAGAAGCTTAGCACGCAACTCGCCTGAGCGATCACCCCGGTTTTCTGAAAACTGTCTTTGAAAAAAAAAACATGGTTGAACATTAGAACGTTATTTATATGGTCATTCAACTTATTTTAATAACAAGTTATTCGAAATTCTGGCACCTTGTTAAGATGATTATCAAATAATGTAAGTCATTATATGTAAAATAGTTGCCTGTAAATGCAAAACTTTGTTGAATTAATAAAGGTGATATTAAACTGACAAGGCTTATAGTATAATATAAATGCATATATATATATATATATATATATATATATATATATATATTAGGGTAGTCCTTAAAATGGTCATTTTCAAATTTTCTTGCTCCCAGGGGCTCAAATGGTTCCAAATTGATAAAAAACAATTCTCTGAAAGTTTTAGCTCTTAATATTAACGTTTGGATAGAGCGCAATTCAATCAAAGTTTGTATGGAAAGAGCATGGAAAAATTTTGAAAATTTAAAAAAAATGTTTTAGGTATAACTTAGCGACAAATGAATGAGTTTTATTCATTCATTTGTTCGCTAAATTACACCTAAAAACATTTTTAAAATTTTTGAAAATTTTACCATGCTATTTCCATACAAAACTTTGATTGAATTGCTCTCTATCTAAACGTTAATATTAAGAGCTAAAACTTTCAGAGAATTGTTTTTCATCCATTAGGAACGATTTGAGCCCCTGGGAGCGAGGAAATTCGAAAATGACCATTTTAAGGACCACCCTAATATATATATATATATATATATATATACATGTATGAAGTTTTGAATCTTTTATAAATGCTTTCCCTTCGTTTTCCAAAATCATTAAATGGTTAATAAAAATTGGCCAAGAAATTTAATTTAAATCTTTTATAAATATTTTCCATTCGTTTCCCTAAATCATAAATGATTAATAAAAATTGCTCAAGCAATTTAGTTCTTCTGAAACATTTTATGTGTTAAAAACTAAATATTCATTTATAAATTAATATAATATATATTATATACTTATGATGAGATATATTTTATATACTTATGAGGAAGACTCTTAAATTGATTCCACGGGCAGGTGCGCAGTTTATCAACGGGCGGAAAATCTTTAGGAAACTCGTATTCGCTGGATTGACGCTCTATGTGGATTTGGATTTCCGCTTCTCTTTTTGTTGTGTAACTTTCATTATCCGAAACCTGTTCATACTTCTAAAATTTATTAAAAATTTATTATAATAGTTATTGACTTTTGTTGCACATGTTTTCTTAACTTTCTTCAAACTACACTCACTTGCGCTATTTTAACGACTAATTCTGGAGGCATTGAACGACGTTTTGTTTTACGTTTCCTGTCATCATTCATATTTTGACGATTCTGTAGATTTTTACTGTTGGTTTTAGGCGAATATGAATTTTTTGAGATAGCTACGGGCTCTGTATCATCTCCTGAATCTATTTCTGTTGTACATAAATCACTTCCAGGATCGGTAGTTGGTAAATCCAACGTGGTGCGCACCATCTTGAAAAAATAATTTTATTACTATATTTATAATTCAGTAATTCAAAGCATCAATGCATAATATATTTATAAATATATTAAACACATGTATATATATTTTGGATTGTGTAGAAAATTATATAGTTTTTTTACCTTAATAGCTTTTCGCTGATACGACTTGGTTCTATTTATTGGTTTTAACAGCTGTTTTTTATTCTGAAATTCAATTTTCTAAATTTCACTAAGTATCTGTTCAAAATTTGTATGTTAACAATATAATTCAGTTTTGAAATTTGCATTTTGAGTACCTTCTTGCTCTTCTTGTACTTATTTAAAATTACTGGTGACGGTGGTGGTACCACGAGTACTTCTTCCTTCTTATTGAACAAAAGATCGTAGTCTGAACTGCTCGAGCTATCGCCGTCATCACTAAGAAATGATGTAATTTTTAATGAAATAATGCTAAATTGGTAAACTGCTCTTCTAAATACCTTGAGTAATCTGACAGCATGATGTTAATAGGTTCATCAGCAGTAGAACCTTCTTGTACGAGTCTAGTTATGATTTTACACCTAAGTCTTTCCTAAAATTTATATAGAGATTTTAATTGGGTTCTGCTATATAGACATATTCCGTTATTAAAATAATAAATATAAGTTGCTTAAAGCAAGTTATTTAGAAGTGTAATAAGAACTCATAGTACCGATCATATATTCGCTACGTAATTCCATAATTCATAACTAATTTTTCTATTGCTTATTCGCACACTTTTCCACACAATAATTAATTAAGAACGACTTAAGATTAATTTTAATGAATGAAATCTAAGTTTAATCAAAACTATTTAAAATTATAATGATTGGTACTTATGCTGAAGTAAACATAAAAATTCTTTTACCTTGCTGGGATCCTCATCACTGTAGTCCAATAGAGTTTCGCAGAAAGATTTACCCATATTTTCATAATCCTGGGCAGTAAAATGTGTACCAGCTCGGGAAGACAATGCTGAGCCTGCAAATGAAGCCTCCATCGTGTAACTATTGGCAACACCCATCAGCCAGACAACCACGCGTCCTGTGCCTTCTTTGGATCGTTGAATGCGAAAACGGCAAGATTCGAAGGAAAACTATAAAAATGATATGATAATTAAAACATTCTTTGATTTACATTTTTCAGCAAATTATTTATTATTGGCACACTTAATTTAACCTTATCTGCAGCATTTTTATGGAGCATCAGAGGGAAAACTTGCTCCAACAGGCGTTTGTCTGCTCCTCGTTTATTTTCACAGCCATATATAAAAGTGTTATGTTTGCGCGAATGTGCGTGCATGTCGCAATACATCAATACGCCACATTCTTCCATCAATCTACAAAATTGGGGATTTATATATTTGCTTAAAAATCCTCTTTTTTATTAATCAATATTTTTATTTATAAATATTAATTATATTAGCCTAGAAACAATAAATAAAACACATTCTAGTTCAAGTTTTTATTATGACCCACCTGCGTATCATTAACTTAGTATGCCACACTGGTGGGTAAGTTTCCCTTATCACAGTTCTATATTGTCGATTCAAATCTCTTCCAGTTAATGAACATCTGTTATTTCCTACTATTACACCATCGGGGTTAAGCATAGGAACTATTTTGAAAATGAATTTAGCCCTGAGTTCACGAGCCCTTGCTGAGTCACCAGTTATGAAATCCATCAGACCTGTAATTAATTCATTGCATATGCATTTTTCATCATATTTAATAGTGAACCGTAACCACGGTAATAAGATATCATAAATATTGTTATAACCATGAATTTGTAGTGTTAAACAGTTTTTGAAAGAAGTAAACTAATTCGATTTTATATCTTATATCTATAAATAATTAGATTTTATCACCTTTCATCATGTACGAAGCCGGTGTTTCTCCTGGATGTACACGTGCTGTTACAATGATGGCTTTCTTTTTCTGATTGTGAGAGTAAAATTTATAAATTATCCTAATATCTAAAATTATAGAACTATACATTTCTATTTGCTGTCACCTTAGTTTCATTTTCTATTGGAGGTGCCGTGACTGTCAGGTAATAAACGTTATTGCCAGCTAGAGATTTGCATAATAATCTCAATTTACAGAAAGTTGATTTTATTGGATGGTTTTGAATTCTACCTAAAATAATTATTTTGAATGGCAATTTAGTGTCTATTGTTTATTAAACCATTTTTATATGATAAATATTTCACCTAAATAATCCTGTAGATCAGTGTATGTATATGGATAGCAATGAGCAAGATATACGGAATCTCTGTCGTGTGGAAATTCTATATTAAATGTTAAAGTATAGGAAGCACTTTGATCTGGTTCCTCATCACTTCTGATGAAAAAATTACTATTAGTTATAATTCATACAACAAATATTAAAATACTCGCTATCAGTAATAAAATGTACAATTCAAAGTATATACTACTTTCCCATAAATATGTATGACTGTTTAGTAGTTTAAAGTATGTTGAAGTTCAATTTTCAACAATAGTATAAATTTCTTATGATTTTTAATAATTCAAAATATCAGCTGTTTAATATTCCCAAACAATTATTAAACTTACGATGAATCATTTTTATAAAAGCTGATATTATCACCACATCTTCTCCACCCTATGCTGTGCAAATGAGCATCGCGAGTTGAATAAAGCAATGGGCGCATACCTGATGTGTAAAGGCTTTCACCCTTCGATAGATTTACTATAGAAAACCTATTTAGTTCAAAATATTTTATTAATATAATATAGGAAATAATATCTGAATGCTAAAAACACAGATTATCTTTAAATAAATTGTTTAAGTTTACCGGTATATAAAACGTCTTCTCGTATTTGATACTCTGAAATAGTACCATTGCATATGCCTATTAGTGTACAAATCAGATCTCAAATGTAATTCATAATAAGTGTCGGTAATTTTAACCACTTTGGCAAGATTTCCGCATTCGAAACGCGACTCGAATGCTAATTCGTCCTCCGATGTTGGCTCGCGCGGTCCAGCCGACGTCCCCGGAGGAGATAATCTGCTACCGCCTGCGGTAGATCTACTAAACTGAAAAAATATCATAGTTGTGACAAAACATAAGTCAATAAAATTATTTGTTCACAAGTCAGAAGAGACTATGTGCTTACATAATTAACTGCACTTGTCGGATAATATTGATAAATCACGACACCACTTTCTTCACCGATAACCTTTGGCTGAGGTTCTTTTCCGCTAAAGTTATAATAAGGCTCAGGCTGTGGAGGTGTATACTCTATATGATGAACTCGTTCCTCCAAAACCTTAAAAATATTTAAAAATTAGATCAAGAAATTAAAGTGTTGAAGCGATATGCTAAAAAATAGTAAACCAAACAGGGAAAAAGATCCCAGAAATTGTATATATTTGTAAGTTTCGATAGTTATGAATACAAATTATGAATAGCAATGAATATCTGTATAAATTATACTATTTGCTATAGCTTTGATATGGTTCATATTCACAAGCAAAAAAATACGAGAGGAGAAAAAGGAATATGCTTTGATTAACATTGTTAATGAAGAAGTAGAATAACAGCATTTATTTTTCAAGATTACCTGGCATTCCGAAGGCCACCTAGCAGTTTGCTGGGGTCCTTCTGGATCCCGGGGTAAAGTGAAGAGTTCCCGCGGCTCGCGCAATCTGGCCTGCACCGACCCATCATTCAAGGTTCCCAACTCACCTCCGTCTATACCAGGCGGAAAATGAGCATCGACGCGTAACTGGTTACTTTTTAATGATCTTTGAAGAAAACTTCCCAACAGGCCACCTTAAAAACAAAATGGGGCAATGCATAATCATGTTTTAATTACTCCAGCTATTTGAACATTTGCTAACCAATATTATTAAAGCTCTATTTTACTAGAGCTGTACTATGATATTGGAAAACTATAAAACGAATGTACATTTCAGACCTTTCAGAATCAATACACAATTGAGCATCAAATAAATATAGAATATAATGTTAATTTGGGTACACTGGAAATGGGGAATGGATAACTTATATGTTGATATATAAAATCACTTCATAATTGAAATATTATTTATATTCTGTATTTACTATTGATTACAAAAACCGTTTAAAATCTTCCACAAACCTCTGGCAATAACACAAACGGGAAAAAGCTCAGCTTGAAGATAACGCACTTGATCGGCTTCATAGTAATCCATTTTTTGGTAAATTCTTTATTAATAATGTAACACATGTTACTAACATAAAATTGCTTTTATCTGTCCTCCATTGTTGAACTTTATTAAATAGATTCCAAATTGTTCCAAACACACTTCTCTTACGTTGTAGTCATTTTAATATTTACTCTTCGAATATTGTAAATTTTTAACTATCAGCATTCAAACAATTTTTTTAAACTGATCAATATTTATCAATAAATAGTTGAGCAATTTTTTTAAAATAAAATTTTAAAAATAGTTTAGTTTAATTAAACGAATCTACTCATGAATACGTGCGGTGAGAGAATAATATACTAAAATTCAACTTAAAGTTTATTCAACTATGACTAATCTACTTTTAATATCGGAATATATTCCATTTATGCATTCGTGTTAAACTATTATTGACACATTTATCGTTTTCGGCTAAGGAACAAATTCTGATTTTAACTTATGACACGAAAGACATGTTGGCATGTAAATCAATCATAAACCGATTCAAATCGATTACACGTTGTCATGATACTATAACTATATATATAAATATATATATATATATATATATCAATTACTTTCTATAATATTGAGAATACGAATATGATTTTATCTATTTAAAAATACACCGAATATGACAAATACTTCATGTTTTATTTATATCAATTTACAAAATGCACATTAGTCTTATTTAATTAGACCTATGTCGATATTGCTCTGCATTACCAAACTTTTTCAACTATACCGTAAATCTAAACTTAACTTATAAAACAAATTAAACTCAAATAAACTAATCTTCAGTAACTTTTTGTAATCATATACAAAACACATAATTTCACTAACCGGTACGAGAAAATAATAGATCACGAAAAATTATGGCTATAATTTGAATTCAGATACATTTGGATCGACAGTCGTTCAAGGTTTTTTTAATACTTTAATTTTTTGTACAAATAAAAATATAAATATTACGCAAATATTAAACATTATTTACTAAAATATAATATTTCACTTAAAAATATAACCTTACTTAGTAAATATTGTCCGAAGTAACCACATGTAATAATTAAAATATTTATTTCGTTTGCATGTTCTAAATATGCATTAAATAAATAGCATAACTTTATGATACTGCTGTTTGACTAAACCGAAAATTGATAAAAATAATTTTATTTTTAATGAAGTTCGTATACACGTATCTTATTTACTGCTCATATTTATTGAATTAATTTTCAATTTAATTAACAGCGGCATGTTAATAAAGAACTTACAATGTTATTAAGTATATGCACGGAAACATACTAAAACTAGACTACACAATTTTTTCTATACTTCACTTATAACCAAATTTGTCACTTTATTGCACTTCACATTTCTGCAACTTGTATTTTTTTAACTTTTATTTTATATTAATATGTTAAAAGTTAGAAAATATAATTTGTATTGGCTTTAGAACTATACAACAATTTAATATACTTTTTTATTAGTTACATGATTATTGGTTTTGTATAGCTTTTGTGAAGTTTTAAATTATCGAACTGGTTTTGATAAGTATATCCGATGTTTATTTTGAAGTAGCGTCCATAGCAACCGGTATTGGATTTCATAATATATTATATTTTCTCTTATTTATATATATTATATATATATATATCACATCGAACATGATTTCTAATATTATTTCATGTTTTAAGAAACACAATTTTCAGTATTTATTTCAATTCCAATTGTTACTTGAACCTAGAAACGAAAATATTAACAAATCGATTTTAAAAATAAATCTAAAATTAATTTTTTAATACTTTGATAATACAAAGGCTATAGATAATAATGAGATATTCAGCAAATTTATATACAGAAATTAATTTACAATTGATTGAATCAATTAAATTTTTCATTTGAATTTTAAACATCAGTTTGAACAAACAAACAACACAAACAACAATCAGTGATAATTATTGGAAAATTAGAATGTAAACAATCAATAATAAACTATTTTGGTTGTTTTTATAATAAAATATATATTAATATAATTTTGAATATTTGTAACGGTTTATTCGATATTGATGGGGAGCAAATTAGATAATTCTATATAATAAATTGCTATGTATACAAAAATCATTTAGAATATTTAGTTTTTTTAAAATCAATCTTAATTTGTTTATATACTATAGTTGCAATAAAAACTATATTGTATAGAATACTGCAAAAATTATATCGATGTTGATAAGAAGATAATATATTAATAGCTCTACGCTTGACAAATTATATTTAAAAAAAAAGGGTTTTATATATCAAAGCGCATGTTAATTATTAGATATATAGGATGCAATTAGAAATAAATAATATATCTAAGAACTACATAATCAAAAATTATCAAAAGACCGCAGGATTGAATATATAGAAGCCACTAAAATAAACAAATAAAACCGTATTATTATTAATGAATAATATTAATTATTGATATTAATGAATTATATTGTAAAATAAAATAAAGGTTTAGTATTAGACCGATGTTAAATAAATTGATTTGTAAAAAAAAAATCACAAGTAAAAGTTCACACAGTGACAAGATTCTTGATTGATCAATAGTTATCAGTTAACGATTGATGTATTGATAAAATAGACTTATGAATCTATAATAAATATCTAATTTAAACTGCAATAAGAAATCGTTGTTTTACGTGTACATAAACTATCAATGATATCGTTCAATCTATAATGCAATTCTAGCACAGTTTATCTAATGAGCCGCGCTCACGTATTTCATATGTCTATAAGAAAATTCGTCTTCTTTTTTATCATTGTGAAAACCCAATTGAAATTGCTATTTTGGGTTTTATGTTTTACTTTCGTGCATTTCTGGCGAATGTTTTTATTTATGGAACATATGTATTATTAATAATACATATGATATATTAGTTATATAAATGTGATGTAGGTAATAATTAATTTCATGAGATACATATCAATTAGTCTACAATTTGATAAAGGAATTTATTATTATATATCGTAATAATATCGTAATAATATCTCGATATAAGGTTTATTTTTGAAATTTATATTATTGTTCATTATTGTTACTAGATGTTTATTTAGCAGTAGTAACAAATATAGTAATTAAAAAAAATTGCTCCAACATCTTAATATTCAATTGTATTTTATAATAGCAATTGTTTCTTTTATTTTACATTCACAATTCATTAACATTATAGAAAAGCTAAAATGTATAATGTTATTGTAATTTTGAAATTAAATCAATTAGTCAAAATTAATATTTTATATTCACTTTAATTAATCAGCATGATTATCGACATACTACATACAAATTTGTGTTAATAAAAGTAAAGTAAAGGTAAAAGTAAGGCACAATATATAGGTAAAGCACCATATATAGGTAGAGGTAAAGGTAAAGGTAAAGCGCCATGTATAGGCAGAGGTAAAATAAAGGTAAAGGTAAAGCACAATATGTAGATTGTAGGTAAAGCACCATATATAGGTAGAGGTAAAGTAAAATTAAGGGTAGGCACAATATATAGGTAAAGCACCATATATAGGTAGGGATAAAGGTGAAGGTAAAGCGCCATTTATAGGTAGAGTAAAGGTAAAGGTAAAGCACCATATATAGGTAGAGTAAAGGTAAAGGTAAAGCACAATATATAGGCATCATAGCACCATATATAGGTAGAGGTAAAGGTAAAGGTAAAACGCCATATATAAGTAGAGGTAAAGTAAAGGTAATTGTAAGGCACAATGTATAGGTAAAGCACTATATTTAGTTAGTGGTAAAGTAAAAGTAAAGGTAAGGCACAATATATAGGTAAAGCACCATATATAGGTAGAGGTAAAGTAAATGTAAAGGTAAAGCACAATATATAGGTAAAGCACCCTATATAGATAGAGTAAAGGTAAAGGTAAAGCACCTTATATAGGTAGGGGTAAAGTAAAGGAAAAGGTTAAAAATAATAAAATATATGGTAAAGTAGGTATGTCTGCTTTGTAAGAAGGAATAAAAAATGAAACTAAAGATGGTATTTTTGAAAATTTCATTTCACTATTCTAGTTTCGGAAATACCTTAACAATTATGATTCAATTAAATGAAGTTGAATAAATACGTAAAAATTAGTTTGTATTTACCTATCGTAAAATTTAAAAACTGAAAAGTTTGAAAGGTATTACTTCTGAATAATTTATATAAGAATAGATCAGCTTATTTATATGTTGAATGTTACATCTTAATTCCAGAAATTATAACTTCCATGAAAATTGTCACAAATTATAAAAATAAGATTTACTGCTAAAATATAAATGTTCTCGTGACATTCTATATTCAGCTATTTTTATAAATCTATATACTTTATGACATGGATAAATAAATTTAACGACGGCGTGAACGTTTCGACATATGTTCACCAAATGTTTGCGAATGTGTTTTGTGATATCTTTGCAATCGTAAATTGGAAAATTACGTAACATGGCTATAGAAATATTAATAAATTTAATATAATAAAATATATTGGGCTGGCGCGTAGGTAAGGATTTAAGACCGACAGCACTTGATTTAGGGATCCCGGGTTCGATACCTACTTCGAGCAGCCCATTGTCAGGCGGTGACAACGATTTTCACTTGGAAATACAGATAGCAATATGTTTCCAAGTGAAAATAGCGCCCTCCGTAAGGAGAAGTTTCAGCTCAACAGCTTATAGCACTTAAGCTTCTGATTGGTATTTAGATATGAGAATAAAAAATTAATTTATAATTAATTTATAAGTCATTTCACTGTTAAAAGTATTTTAAACTTTGAGATATATTTTGACATATGTGTTTTGAATACTAATTAACTAACTATATAATTATTAAACGAATATAAACATATTTTAAATTAAGCTATCATAAAACTTAAAGCAATGCTAGTAAAAATATTATTGATATTACACATAATATTTTATTTATTTAATCTAATCATTTCAAATATTTACCTATGTTTATATCTAGGAAGTAACG